CGCCCCGGCCCCGCGGGGGTGGGGCTATGAGGCAGGCGTGGCCGCGGAGCACGCCGGGAGCGCGGCTGAGGAGCCGCCCGTCTCCTCCCCTCCGCGCCCGGAGGGCGGGTTGGTTCTGAGGGAGAATTTTTTCTAGAAATGTTAAAAACAGGGTTCGGGTGTTCCCAACAACATTAAGGAAAGTCCTGTAAGAGAAACCAATGGTAAAAAGGCTAGTATTTTATCACTAAAGATACGGTGCACGAGCGTGCACCAGAAAGGACCGAAGACGCTTTAAATAAAGTATTTATTTAGTACAGAACAGTAGAGTATAAAGTGTTTGGGAAACTTTCATGGTGCAAGTCTCTGAATAAAAGCACATTTTTACAGTTAAAACTGCTTATCCTGACCCTAGACACGTGAGCAGCTGACCAAGGTGCTTGCATAATCCTCTGTAAAAATTTAAAATGATTCAAACAGACATTCACACATTTAAAAACAGCACTGACAGGTCAGCCCTTACATATTTGTACAGCCATCCTCTAATATTTCACCTGTTCTTTTTGCCTGTCCACAATCTACAACCGCGGTACTGTAACCGTAACTGGTAAGACTTTGCCGTGGGTATCATACTGGCAATGTACCGCTCTGCCTTCAGCGTCCATGCCTCTTGCACCTCAAAGCCTCCTGTGAAGGTACGGAACACAGGTCTTCACAGGCGGCGAGGCTTCACTTCCTGGAAGCTGCAAGCAGAGATTCAATGTCCTGAATTACTTTGGAAGTTTTTTCCAAAGCCTCCAAGACGCACCCTTCACTGAGTTCTTCCGGCTCACTCTCATTTTCTGTTCTTCTGACAGCAGTACCAGATGGAGTGTTTTTTGCAGCAGATGTCCCTTCCAGAACACTGCTATTATCCAATAAAACTAGTGTTAGTTTGTTAAGAAAAAATATCAAACTCTTTCTCCTAAGGAGAAAAATACTTCTCCGTATTTGTATTCATCATTCTGCAGCACAAAGTCTCACATTTCATAGCATGGTAATTAAGCTTAAAAATTAAACAGTATATTACTTAAAATGTCTACAAGATTTACGCAAAATGTCTTTAACTAAGACTTCCAACTTATCCAAAAGTTACTTTGTAAAGGAAACTATCTGATGTCACACTGCACAGTTCAACAGCATGCACTTCCGATACTAATAAAATTGAACACTGGCTTAAAGACAATTACAGAGTGGCTTTGAGCACATGCAGCGCAGCACACTTTTTGGAGCTGGCTGAACACAACGGAACATTACTGAAGTAGCTGATAAACAGAAAGGTGTTGTACTGCAACAAGCAGCCCAAAGGGAACTGCATCACCCCTCCTTCAAGAAGGGACCAGCAGATGAGCGTTAGGAAAACTAATGCAATACCCATTCCTGTTTTGCGTGATTTTTTTATTTTACTTTTGTACTCTGCCACTGGTTTTGTTTCTGGAGCTGTGATGCAGATAAGTGATAAAACAAAAATTATAAGAAAATGAAAAAATGGCTTAAAAAGGTAATTTTTAAAGTGGGCAAGACAGTAAAAGAAGGTGAGAACATCACAGAGAGCCTCTTATGATCTGAAATGCAGATCTGAATATGCAGATGAACAACAGAATATAAAAGTGAAAAATCTTTACAGCTTTCAAAAGGATACAGTTAAATCTCCGTATTTTTTCGAGCTCAGCATCAGCAGACCTGCCCAAGAAAATAAAGATTATTAAACGATTTAGTATCATAAAAAGTTCTCAAACGTCTTTTCTACTTCAGATTTTAATTTTTAATAGTTTCCAACAATGCTGAAAATCAGACGAGCAAAATTCAAGTGAAATAAATGCTTTATTTTGACTTTCATATCACTAGTCAATGGCTGCCTTTTGTCAATCATTTTTGTTTCAAAAAATGAGGGCTCTTCTCTAAGAATAGTCTCTTTGGTACGTATGTATAAATATAGGCACGATTTTCATCTCATCAGCTACTGATTCTGCTATAATTTGAATAACAAGTGCAAGTGTAATCGATTTCAATTAAAGCATTTTTAATACCCTAATATCTTTGTATACGATGTCAGGAGCCCTTTTGGTCAGTAGCATGTATTAAAAAGAACAAATTTATTAGCAATAGATAAAAGTGTCCTTTAGCAGTTCAAGGTACTATTTTGAACTGCTTCGTGTTCTGTTAAAAGATGCCTTTCTTAGTCTATTTTCTCTTTTTAACCTTGCAAGATACTATCTCTGTAACATTAATCCTCCTTTGTCACCTAATTCTGATTTTTAAGTAAGGCAGAAGCGCAATGAAATAACCTTCACCTAGAACTCAACTTACCTAATATTTCAAACACTGAAAGAAAAATATGAAACCACACAAAATAAATGGACTTAAAATTATCATTTTTGACCCTTAAGAAATGCAGTCTATAAAATTCACAGTCTGTAGTCTTTTTGGGTTTTATTTTCAACATTCTTTGTAGTCAATTGTTTAGGATAAAGATGAATACCAATTTTCTTCAGTTACAGAGTGTGCAGTATATTCAGGAATCTCCTTCTCTTCATTCAAACTTCTGCACCATTCTGCTGCTGTTCTGATGTACCTATGTTAACATGAAAATTCACAAAAATGCAGTTATTTATAAGAGAAATGCATTCTATTAATTCAAGCAAAAAAATGAAGGCATTAAGCAATACACTTGGATCTGAAAGAAAAGGCCATGATTCAAAATCTAGCTTTCTCTCTAGTTTTCCTTGCCATTTTTTGATTCCCACTTTTTGTCTAGTATCTCTTTCATATTTAAATCTGTGCAGTTATAGGAAATTATAACAAAGCTGTACGATTTGTAATGAATAGTGTACAAATGTTAATTTTTGTTTGTGAATATCTGTTTGCCAAAATGCAGCACAGTAAACTTCTGATGATTCCCATAATGAGGCTGTAATTAGAGTAAGCAGATTAGAGAAAGCAATCTGCAGGCAGAGGTCAATATCTGTAATAAAGGAAAAATTGGATAAAATTCTATCCAGTTCTATGTACAAGCTCTATATACGACAAAGGAATTTTTTTTCTTATCCACTGATGTAAGTGCCAAGATGCAACTCTAGTTACTTTTTTAAAAAGGCATTACTGTAACAATTATAATAGAATGACAGCATGCAGTGGTTCCAAGTCATACAGGTCCTGAATCTTTGCAGATGTAAGATGCAGCTTTTATCATTACATGTTTGGCCGTGTCTGTGTCCCCCATCCCCCTTTCCCCCCCATATTTTCAGTAAATACCACTTCTTCATATAAAAGGGTTTGTACAGAATTCTTTTATATTTAACTTTGAATTGTTTAAATTACTCATACCTTTCATAGATTCCAGGATGACTTAATTGTATAAGATGCTGTACCCCATCAGGACTAGTTAACTTACACCAGCCTACATCTTCATTTACCTTAAAAGAAAAAAAAAAATTACAAGTATTAATGTTCTGATCCAGTCTGAAGGGAAAAAAAAGCAAGTGTAGCACGCCAATTTAACAATTAAGTATCTATGAACACTCCACTTTAAACACTTAAAAGTTTGTGCTTTTCTAAGGATAGAACTGGGTATAGTCCACTGTGACAAACGTGGGGCAAAAAAACCCCAACACCTGGCACGGGCCCAACACTCGTTTTGTGCTATTCAAGAATAAATTATTTCTAAAAGCATGTAGAAACATTTCCAAACCTGTAGAATTTTCAGTTCTTCCCCCTTCTATCGTGAGTGAGTGCACAGATTTGAGCTAGCTCACATCAGGAAGTTATACTGTATCTTTTGACACACTGACTATCACACTTAATTGCCTATAATAGAGATATTCTCAGACTCTTTGTGTCTTGCCACCTTAGGGTAATAAGCACAGACACGGAAGCCAAAAGTCTCAGCATTCAGCCTTGAATCCCACACTCACATAATTTTCTCTGTAGTGCCATGCTGCAAAAATCAACTTAATCTTTTTACTTCTATATTAAGTAGATTTAAAAATGTATATGGAATACCATATGCACAAGGTTACTTTTCTGAGTAATTTTTCACTATCTATTTGCTCAATTCTAGGTAATTTGAAATGAAAAAAAATACTCCCTTCTTCGATCAATGTGAGTGACTTCTTAAAAGCATAAAGTTTCATTTCCCTCTTCAGGCATCAGTTATGCACTAAAATATTTTCCTCCTTGTTTCTGGTTAAAAGACTGGCAATACATTCACACTGGCATTGCAGATAGTTCCGATTTTCATTGAGACTACTATAAAAGCTTAAGAGAAAGCCAAGCAGCAAACTGCTGTGAGTTACGCATCTCTCAGAAGACTTTAGTTCGTATTTTACAGGCATCAAAACTTTTGTTTTGTTTCCTCATTAGTGTCCTAGTAACACTTTTTCATTAACAGTTTTAAGAACAGTCATTCCTCTAACTCCTGAGTTACCTGGATCTTACTACATGAAGAGCTGAAATCCCAGACCATATTCAAGGTTGTGCCATCCCAAAAAGCAGCATGGACTTTATGATCCGAGTACACAACGAGTCTTCCTATGCTGGGGATAACCTTGTCATACAGCAAAACTGGCAACATTTCTCGTCCATCTGTCTCAGGCACCTAGAACCAAATAAATACATTAAAAACTTGAGAAAAGGTTATTTACATCATTACAGCTGTTTGTATCTCTCCCACATTTCCAATCCACTTGTTTTTCCAGCTTGCTTTATCATGCAACCGCCTTCTGCTTCACAAATGCACCTTCACACTGCGTGCTTTTGGTTCCCAAATATACACCTTCTGATCTTTGAGGATATGTTCACCATTCTTCCCTCTACATTAGGTCCTATTCCCTACAGACTGTATAATCATCCTTATAACACTGAAAGATTTATAAATCTTCAGCTACATACCATTTTCCAGCAACAGAGATAACAGTTATGAGTTAATGACAGTTTAGCCTTGTAGCAGTACTGAAGTATTCTGAGGAGAAAAAAAACAAACAAAACATTAAGCATTTCATACTTACTATGCCTTCTAAACAGTTGTGACTTTTGTTCTGTAAGTTTATAGATGTCCTCAGTGCTAATATAAGTTCCTTTAATCTTTATACTTAATGCCATAATAAGTATTATATGTAATGTTAACTACTGTCCTTTCAAAGTCAGAGGAATTAAAGTAACAAAGCAGTGTGAAGTTACTTGGTTGCCCGAGTAATAATGGAGGATATAGAGTACGGATTTCCTGGTACATCAGGAGGTAGGCTGTTCACCGAATACATCTTTTCTTCTCTCTGCAGTAAAGACCAGAAAGGAGAGTGGTCAGTTACGGGTACTGTGGCATGAAAACAGTATTAAGAGCTTGCAAGACAGGAAATTTTCTGACCTCCCAGAAAGCAACTATAATCCCATTTAAATTTGTCCCAGAACAGAGATAAATATCTGAAAAAAAAGTGCAGTTGTATCCTTTAAGCGCGCCTCTGTGGGAAGAAATGTTCAGTTTCCATGCACTCAGTATAGACTAAGAAGTTCTCTGATCAGAGTGGACCACAGTTCTTTACGGAGTAACTACATCTGACCACAAGTTAAAGGCTAGGCTCGAAGAGCACAAAGTTGACCCTCAATTCTGCTTTAAAAATACAAAGCACTGCATAAGCACTTGAGAGGATCACTACTCTGGGGAAACTTAACAAGAGACAGACACAGAGATGCAAACCCATTTCGCCAGCAGCAAACAGCTGCTCTGTGGCAAAGCCAGAACAGAACCTGCATCTTCCAGCTTCTGTCTCCACATAGTAAAAAAGAAAACACTTCTGGGTACGTAAAGATTATACTCTAAGCAATATATTACTTTAAAGACTAAAATTCTCTTCTAAATTAGTGAGAAATGGTTATTGTGGAATCTTACTGCAGTACATACTTGAGCTTGGGAAATAAATGTTACAATGAGTAAGGTTTTTCTTTGCGTGTCTGTAATTTACAAAAATACATTCTGAAACAGAAGGAATAATCTCATTTTTTTGTACGATTGATTGCTTGATTCAGTCATAATAGTAATTAACAATGTAGTGACTTCACTACAGACTGCACAGCCAAACGTCTTAAAACTAAGAAAACTGCTAACTTCCAGGAATTTGGGACATACTTTAGAATAATTTATAGCTTCATACCTCTTTTGTTCCTTTTTGGATTGCATAATGTATGAAGTAGTTTCCCAAAAGTGCTCCCTCTGACTTGAAAAACGAGCCATCACCAGGATAAATTTCTGTGATGGTTGTCCTACCATGGATAAATCTAAGAGAAATAACAAGATTTTTAACAAGTATTGAAAATGCTGTGTCACTAGACAAGCAGAAGAGGTTAGTACACTTCAAGAAAGTACTAGGCAGAAACACACTTTCAACACAATTCTCACATGAAAAACTTCCTACTGTTTCACAAACAGCAGAGTGTACCAACTATTTATTTTAATACAGAAGATTAGCATTACTAGGCTCTTTGTTCGCATGTGTGCATGGGGAGTGGGAGTTAAACAAGCTAAGGAATGCTTTTTTGTGTTGACATAAACATCCCACAAGAGCTGCTCATTCCACTGACCACAAAATACAGAGATTCTAAAGAGAAAAATCCAGTTTTCTTAGTGGACCAGCCCTACCCAGTGTACATGGAGAACTGTTGGACTGAATGATTCCTGGACAACCTGAAGGTCTTCACTTCCACTTTAGCTGTGTGTTTTTCACTAAGATCAGTGGTCTTTTACTTGTGATCATACAGTGTCTTGGAGCCTAAAACCCATTTAACGACCCAATTCTGCAACTCTGTGGTTACATCCCTGGACTTAGGTCACGGGACTTACTAGACTAAGCATGGCTGCTCACCATACTTCCAAAGAAATGAACTGCAGTACCGAAGAGCTGCAAAACATTTTGTTCAGACAAGATGAAAATTTAGGAATTACACTCAGAAAAACTGGGCAGAAAGATGAAAGCTTTAAAGACCGATTATGCCTTTATCAAAGTCTTTTAAATGCTGCTATCAACTGTAGCATTTTCAGAATTTGTGTCACAGATTTGAAAGGGCGATTTTTTGAAAAGTCTTTTTTTAAAAAAAAAAAAAAACACAAAACCCACATATGGACAAGGTGATTTGCCAGGAAAATCCACAGTTTAGCTGCCTGCAACATGCAAATTATGTAGGTCATCACGACAGACATTTCTAAAGCGTGAAATCTTCAGCATCAAAAGCAGCAATGTAATTTGCAAAGAAACCAAGCACTGTAATTGTCAATGAAGCCTGTGGGAGCTCCAGCTGTCCAGTAAACTGTTAAGGGATCTGATAATCAGATCGCTTCTTTAAAAGCCTTAAACAAGATTTCAGGTTGGTTGTTTCAGACATACCCACGTTCAGACCTGGAAACATACTGTACTGGAAAATTTGAAGTCCAATGTACAAACAACAGAAATGAACAGACTCTTACATGAAACTTCTGTGCAATTTCTCTAAGAGTGAGAAAGGGACAAAGTAAGACATTTCATCTTTAAGCTTAATTCCCATACAAATGAAGTCTTCCAAAGATGAAATGCATGATCTCCTACATACCTATAAAAAACACCCTGGCACCACACAATTTGAATTAGCTGAGGGCTTGAATACTTTTCAGTATCTTGATTCTGAAAGAAGTCACAGAAAGTCCACCTGTATAAAATACAATAAAAGCTTCACTAAGTCTGAAGGTCAGGAGAGGTGTACCATTTCTGTACCAGGAACAGATGCATGCGCACCTATTCAAAGGAAGAGAAGCCACATATTTTCAGAATCCTCTCATTCCTTAGTTATCCACATTGGTTACCAAATTAGTTTTCTCAAACCTGCAAACTTTTTTTTTTATGATTTTTAGTGGTGCTGACAGAGAACACCTGCTACCAGCCCACCTCAGAAGTACCATCGTCTCAAAAATGAAAAAAACCCAAACCAACCCAAAACCTAGTACCATCGTCTCAAAAATGAAAAAAACCCAAACCAACCCAAAACCTATGTTCTTTTTTCAGTATCCTCTTTTTCATTTACATATTTATACAGCATATCGGAAAATAAAATTTATTTTTGTCTGGACTAATTACTATATATTCATTACAGTAGGATACAGAATGTTGGTTTCACAGATTTCACATTTCAGTAAGTTCCTAAAAAAAAAAAGAGTAAGACAGTTTTTTTTTTTATAGCTAGAATTCACTTCTTTTGCTAGAGGATGAAGTTCCAAACTGGAAAACTGTAAAACATATGTTAGCAACCACAAAGTAAACAGCTTAAATTACCTGTGTAAATGTGGGGCTCTGCAGCTAAGTGGCAAAGCTGTAGGTATATGAGAAACTGTCTCTTGTGCTTCGGGGTCTATTAGAACATCAGACTCTGTAGATGTATGGCTGTTTTTTTCACGTGTCTTCACTACATTCTTAACAGTGTGTAAGTTACAGCACATTAGTGCCAACGACAAAGGGTATTTCCATTCTTCTGGGTAGGAGGAAACAGACCAACACTGCGTAACCCACGTGTATTCAGATGAACAATCTGTGTAGAACAAAGGGCCCCCATCTCTGTCTTTTAGGTCTTTTGGTTTGGTTGGTTGTGTGTATTTACCTTCAGCACAACCATCGTCATTCTTCTTATTCTCTATTTTTGTTTGCTTTGATGACATTTCTACAACACAATTTTTACTTGATTCTCCATACTGATCTCCGGTTTGGTAGCTGCTGTTCCTCTGAGAGGAGTGTAAGGATGCTGCAGATGACTGGCTGACTCTGCATAAGAACTCCACTGTGAATTCTTGCTGCAATTCTGACAGGTAAAGATGAGCATAACCATCTACCGACGAGATCTTCACACTGCCGTTGTCTACACATCTTGTCAGATTAGCGATAGTAGGGTCAGGCCATCTAATTTCTAAGATATCACTGTAAAGAATCTAATACAAGAAAAAGGACTGGAATGTGCAGCAAGATGAAAATGACCTGTTTCCCAGAAATTACAGTGGAGGATTTACATTCAAACGAATTCAGTCCTTCTGCAAGGGGATGGATGGCAAGAGACTTTACTCTGTATTCGTTTGCATACATGAACTCAAGAGGAAGCAAAATATCTAACCTTCGTATCTGCTTCCTCCTGTACTAACAGAGTTCTATCTAGCAATGATGTTTTAATTTAATATGTATTCATAAACTAGTAAGGTACACAGCCAATGGATCAGGCACAACTGCCCAAGGACTACATATTTCTGTTTCCAGCTGCTTCTTAAGAGACACTGAAGAGAAGGCCTAAATTATCTTGAACGCATCAGTTATGAGCAGACTTCATGGAAAGCCCACATTAAAATTGTGTGCATTAAAACCTCATATGCATCTAAATCTTGATTTATAAAATTAAAATAAGCCTGTAAAATGGCATATAACATGTATTTATGTGTTCTTACCAAAACATAAATTTATAGAAAATGTTTTGCACCTAGGTGGGTCATTTTACTTAATCCCGCAGCACCAGAGATTAAATTACACAGCTATTTCTAGGATGTGGATAAAACATATTTCTGAAGAAGAATTTAAAATATAATAAAGACTTTAGACTTTCACAATACAACGTTTGGCAAGTCTCAGAAGAATAGCCTCATCTTTCCAAGTACAGACTGCTGCTTCAATTAGCACTTTTGTTCAAAACAGAACAAAAAACATTTTCACATCATATGCCCTTGTGCTACCCCTTCCACAAAATCGAAGCAGATGATGCTCAGCAAATTGCTCCAAACAAGCACTGCATCTGTCTCAAACCCCAGATTAAAGCTTTGCGCAAAGAGAAGATATAGTTTAGAAAATGCACTGATCACCTTCTGAAACTAGAAACATTCTGTCAAGATAGAGAATGCCTTTCTAGCCATCTGCAGAAGTTCTGCCCTAAAATGAGGTGTTTTCCTTTGTATTGTCCTTACACCTGGTTACCTTGCACAAAATACCCTTAGTTTGCTTTCAGTTGAAGACTCCAGGTAAAGCACTGGATCCCAAATAAATGCAAACCCTCTCAAATAAGGGTCAGAAAAACATAGCATACCAGTATTCACACTCCTCATAATTTGTTTTATCTCAATATAATCAGTGTTGCCTCATTTGACTGACCTTTAATCAGTATGTTTCAGCCCCAGTTGCACTTTGGCCCAGCACTGGAACAGCCTGGTATCCAATAAAAATGAAACGGGGCAGCACTAGTCTATTAGTAAGGTGGGAAAGTCTGCTGAAGCTATTTGGAGCACTAATGATGAAAATTTACCATAAAGAATTGCAAAAGGACCCTTAAAAAAAAAAATAAAAATCAAGTGACCAGACAATAAGGCGGCAGATAAAAATTCAGTGGCGATAATGTGAAAAATGGGAAAACACCTAGGAATAATCTCTTGGTGTTATGACTGACAGTCCCATGAAAACACACTCTATGTTCAGTAGCAGTCTCAGCATTGTATCAAATGTTCGAAAATTCTAGGAAGGGAGCAAGAGCAAACAGAATATACAACTGTACCACTGAATATATTCAGGGTTAACCTGCATTTTGAATACTATTTGCAATCCTGAACTATTTGCACCACTCGCCAAGCTGCCTGGAGACGTGGATGGTCAGGGTGGCCAACGCAGCGCCTAAGCAAACGGCAGTACAGGGCTGTTCTGAATTCAAGCATAAGCAAAGTAATGAGGTATAACTGCAGAAGTGTTTTTGTTCCCAGTGGCCCAGTAAAAGTGTTGTCACTGCTAGCAACGGGCCACAGGCCTCAGGCTGAGTCTTACACGAATGGCGCAAGGCCCCAGGCTGGCTGATTAAGCTCGTTACCAAATTGTTATGAGAACCGAGTGAGCTGGAGCTTGATAACTGTTATCTCCTTACAATGGACTGGTGAAGCGTGGGAGATGGCGAAGGCCTTGAAAATATGGGCACTGGTTGAAAGTAAGAGGCTGCAGAATAACAAACTGATAGCGAGTTACTGAAGAAGTACAGCCTCAAGACCTACAAAAAAACCTGCTTTTCCTCTAAGAAAAGCAGCAGCTAATAAACTAAGGGGGGGG